CCATCATTTGTTGGAAACACTCCACAAGTTCATCTCTGCGAGTTCCTTGTTCAAGCCCGAAAAGCAGAGAGCACATTATGTTGAACGTGAGGATCTTCATCAGGGGCAAGGCCTATCAAGCAATAGAAACCTTCGTTAATTGATATTGATCTTTATTTGTTGCTTTCAGTTACTTTTCTTTTTTAATCTTAAAAGAAAAAACAGAAGCAGAAGGCATACAGGGAGGTTTCTGCTAGGTAACTCTTGTTTCACACATTCTAGGGACAGGATGCATTTAGGTGGATGGAAAAAATGGCTTTGGCTCCCACAATTCCTATGATGAGAAAAACATGGTTGAAAAGATCTGATAGAAAAAAAAAAAAAAAAAGTGTTGAAAATCAGGGTAAACTCTTCTTTCACCAAATGGTGTCACTTGAAGTAAAGTTATGTATCATTTCAAAACCCCTTCCAACTTTCTTTCTATTTTGAAAATTCTCTCACAGAAAGTTCTTGATAGGAATAACTTACTTTTACTTGTTGCTGGCCATGCCAATGCATCTCAAGGTGCTTCCTGGTTTCTTGGTCCATTTTTCCAACATATTGCTTCAGTGACTCAGGCTTCAAGAACAACATAAGAGCATTTCGTACACGCTTGTGATCATTTCCACTCAGCTCCAGTATATTCCGGTCACCCAAAATCATACGAATAGACTCTGTCTGTTGGCTGGTAATGGTGCTGCCATCAGTGGTGAATATAAACTTGTTTGCAGCCTGTCCATGAATGAAGACTGTTGGTTTCCCAAAGAGACTTAGCTTCGAAACTGAACCGTACGTTCTGATTCTTTGTTCAAGCCATTTTTCAGCAGTATTGGCACGCATGGCTCTGGGAAGACCAAGGCTCTGGCCTATTATGGGCAGCCCGAGTGAGCCTGGAGGAAGCCTAGTTGATGGCTTTTTTCTTCTTGCAAGGAGAAGGAAGATGGGGATGAGGAAGAGGAAAACTGTGATGAGAAGAAGGACATCCATGATTTGTGAGGCTTTGTTTGTGGAGTGAAAGAACAGGAGTTTAATCCATCTTCAATTCAATGCAATTCAAGGAAAGCTAAATATGTTTTTGTTGGCTTCTGGGAGGGTATCTCATGTGCCTATAAGTCAACTATTCCATTTAGAACTCTGAAAACAAAACCCCACCAAACTTCTTGGTTTACAAGTGCACTTATACTTCTATCAAAGAATGCAAAGTATGCCTTGTAATATAATAAGTAACAGTTCAACATCATGTGTTGTATAATTCACTGTTTCTATACATTTAATAAATTAAAGAAATTAGTATAAGGTGTCCAAGTTCTCTGGAATTATTCCCTCATTGTTTTTGTTTATTTAACCAGACAGAAAAACTTGACATATAGCTAGAACTTTTGTTTTTTGTTATTAAAAGGTTCCAAGTTCGAATTCCCCCCCTTCCCTTGATATAGCTGGAACTAAGTTGGAAAGGTTAGTCTAAAATCACAGAGACAGATTAGAATGGTTTCTTTTCAATTTTTGCACACAGGAGCCCATAAATCTCATAAACGCTCTCGTGGCACGTTTTCGTGTAACATAATATACAACCTCTAGAGGTTGCTCGATAGAATTTGATTGCTTTAAATGCACGAATAGCATATAATATCGTTCCACATCGAGACATTTCGTATAGCTAGCATGATAAGTATTGAAGTTGATCAAACATCTTAACATTACATTTGTTTCCTTGGCATGATTTCTATAGGTAGTCCTTGAGTAGGTACTGGCATGGGAACCCTACTGAACTTGTTGTCTGCGCATAGCTTCCATGTGAATTGAGTTACCATATAATGGATTGCAACAAGGATTTCAATCCTGGCAAACTCATATCCTGGACATATTCGTGTTCCTCCTCCGAATGGAACAAAGCTGTAGGGTGGAACTGATTTTTGGTTCTCGAACCTACTTGGATCGAACTTTGATGGCTCAGGGAATATGCTATCGTCATTGTGTGTCATAGGAATAACCCAGAATATCTAGCAATATTTGATGTTAGGATTTTCATCAATATTTCTATCTTTTTGAAAGAGAATGAGAATGAGAACTTCTGTAAATATATATATGCTTATAGTAAATTTGAACTTACTTGCCACCCTTGAGGGATGAGGAATCCTCCATACTCAAGATCTTTCATAGCCCTCCTCATGCCACCAAAAACAGGAGGAGTTGTCCTCAGAATTTCCATTGTTACCCTCCATGTGTACTTCATCTTAGCAAGGTCTTCCCATGTCAGAAGTTCCCCAAAGGATTTGCTTCTAGCTATTTCTTCCTGTTCTGCAAACACAAATGAACAAGCATCAATCACATTAGCTTCATTTTTCGTTAGCGATCCAATGGAATAAGGTAAACTCGAACGCTTCATTTTGAAAGAGACTTCAGGAATAATGTTTTCTCTTATTCAAAACTGTTCAACTTACACGATTACAGAGAGATGCTTTTATATCAGAGGATCAGAATATTAAAACTAGCTTTTGAGTTGTAAGACAGATACTATAATAACACTACAACTAGCTGACACCATCATATACAGTACTATGGAATATTAGCCGACACCATCATATACAGCACTATGAAATATTAAATAAAGTGGTCAGTCAATTATTCTTGGTCAGTCAATTATTCTTTCTGTTTATCACACCCCCGCAAGCTGAACGGTGGGGGACGAACCGGAAGCTTGGACACGAGGGTAGAAAAGCGAGCAGTAGACAATCCTTATTCTTTCTGTTTATCACATTTTTCGTACGTCGTGTAGAATTTTATGAGTAGGGGGATTATGCATACCTTGAAGAACGGCTGCATAAACAGCAGGTTCATTAGCTAGAAGCCGCAAAAGAAAAGTAATGACCACAGATGAAGTGTCATATCCTGCAACCATAACTATTATGATATTGTGCAAGATCTCTTTTTCAGTTAATTCTTCTTCATTGTCAACATTTCGAATGCTAAGCAAGCAAGTGATAAGGTCTTGGAGTGGTAAAGCAGTTTTTTGCTCAAGTTGCATCCTCTTTTCACAAATTAGTTCCTTAAGCATGTTTTGAACCCTCTTGCTTGCCTTGATGCTGCAGTTGAAACGCGTGAACGGCAATTTAGAGGGACTGACCACACTCCTTCTATCATTCGTTGAAAACACTCAATGAGTTCGTCTCTGCGAGGTCCTCGTTCAACCCCAAAAAGCAGTGAGCATATAATGTTGAACGTGAGGTTCTTCATGAGAGGCAAGACCTATGAACAACGGAAAAACTTTGTTAATGTGAATTTTAATTCAGCGAATAAGTGCAGATTTACATATCTGTTAAACTGATTGGCCAACTAAACGCCTTTGCAGTAGGTATGGTCCCAACCTATATGAGTGTTAAGTGTAATTGACTCAAAAGCTTTTTATAGCGCTATAACTTACTGTTATTTTTTGCTTCCCATGCCAATTCAACTCAAGATGCTTCCTGATTTCTTCGTCCATTTTTCCCACATATTGCTTCAGTGACTCAGGCTTCAAGAACACCATAAGAGCATTTCTAACTCGCTTGTGATCCTCGCCACTCAGCTCCAATATGTTCCGGTCACCTAAAATCATTCGAGTAGACTCAGGTTGTTGGCTGGTAATGGTTGTGCCATCATTGTTGAATACAAACTTGTTTGCAGCCTGTCCATGAATGAATACTGTTGGCTTGCCAAAGAGACTACTTGGTTATTCTTTGTTCAAGCCATTTTTCTGCAGTGTTGTTGCGCATGGCTCGAAGAAAGCCAAGGCTCTGTCCTATTATGGGTAGTCCCAATGAGCCCGGAGGAAGCCTTTTCGATGATTTTCTTCTTCTCGTAATGAGAAAGAAGATGGGGATGACCAAGAGGAAAATGGTGACAAGAAGGGTATTCATGATTTGTGTGGCGTAATTTGTTTTTGCAAGAGTGTGAGGGAGGGATTCAAGAGAATGAAAAATCAATGCATTTGGGGCGAGTCTAGTAAAAGAAAGGAAAAGAAGATAAATGCTTTTTTCTTTTTAGGGTTTCGGGCGGGTGTATCGAAATATGCATAAGCACATTCAATGGCGGATCCAAGATTCTCGGGCCAAGGGGTCTTGGTGTAAAAGTGTCGAAATTTTTCCTACGAAGAAAATAACACTTAAAAAATAGAAAGACAGTGACGGCACAAGGTGGTGGTTAGCGCCGGCAGAGAGGTAGTGGTGGAGGTTGGGAGGTTGGGCTCCTGGGGTTGTGAGATATTAATTTGGGAATGAAAGGGTTTGGGTATGTGTTGTGGAGTCGGATAAATGGGAGGGGCAGAGGATGATCTTTTGTTTTGGTTTTTTATTTTTTTTGGTCCTAGTTCCACCAATGTACTGAACCATATAACCAAGAAAATTGGAACAGAGAGGAGACACAAAGAAAATTGGTAGAGATTATGTTATTTCCGATCTTATATTAAATTCTTTTACTAATAAGAGTAACCAATAACTCATATCTTGAAAAGTGCTTTGATTTAATGGCCTCAAAGGTGTTACATTTGTGTTAACAACATTGTTTGAACATGACCTGTATATGATATAACTTGGGACCAACTGGCTCTTAATTACGATATTTCTCTTCTCAATGGTATAAAAATATAGTCCCACCAGAATTTGCCAAGAAGATGATGTCCTCTCCTCGAGGGAAAGCGACTTGATCAAGAAGAGGAATTCATGCAATGGGAAGAAACTGAAAGGAAGTTTCCCTTTAAGTTAGCCCATTGACTGAAGAGTTTAATAATAAGCCATATTAGACTATTGGTACCTTGACGTAAATTGGCAAATAATTACAATGAGAAAGTTTTTATTTTATTTTTTTATCAATGGGGTGAGGAAATTTTGCAAACTTGGCATCTCCTCTCTAACATCTATATATAATTAAGGGGTCTTTAAACATAGTGTTCATACAATTCCACTTTGAGAAAGTTTTTGAGAGAGAAAATAAGTTGGAAGCTAGCCATGGATCCTTCTGTGTATGAGGCCGCAGAATCGGGCGATGTTGGTTTTTTCAGAAGAGCTAGACATGGTGATGTATCAGTTCTCCATCAGAAAACCCCCGCTCACAAAAATATTTTTCATATTGCAGCTGAATACAAACAATTACATTTCTTCAGAGATGTCCTATTTGATGATCAATCCTTGCTGTTTTGGGCTGACAATAAGAAGGGCAACACTCCTCTCCACGTAGCTGCGAGAGTAGGCTGTGATGAAGTTGTACAGTTCCTCATTGAACACGCAAAGAAACTTCTGCATATGGAACGAGCTGACGAGGAAAGAGGACCAAATGGTGAAGCTAACAAACTACTTCGAATCACTAATTTGCAAGGAGATACAGCATTTCATGTTGCTGCCAAATAGTGGTCTGGTTTAGTTTAGTTTGATTTCACCCGTGATTTTAATTCAACCAAAGTTGGACTGCGCCCACCCAAGATTAAGTGTGAGAGACTTTCTAGAAGACTTAACGAGTACTGATCAATTACACCCGACAATATTGTTTACAGGAGAGATTCATATTTAATATAAAAATCATGAACTTGAAAAAACTACGTGTCTGAAACTTAAAGATAAAGAACTTTTTGTACATGAGATTATCAAAATAGAGACCTTTTTTCTTTACAATGGCATTTTTGTTCAGTTATTTTTTTATGCTGTGAAAACACACTAGTGGTTTTTTTTAACTTAAAGATAATGCTTCCTTGTGAGCACACGTCTCTCCTGAGTGAACATCAGATTAAGCAAAACATTGTAGCTTGTTATTTAGAACACATCTTTCTTGGCATGAAAAGGAATTGAAAAGCTATACAGATGTTAATGTTTTGGCTTGGTCTTGCTCGTCGCATAGATATATAGTGAAGTTAGCTTTGAAATTTTGGTATATGAAAGCAGAGTTGGAAAAGCGAGAAGTGTAAGAGAGAGACAGAGAGGAGGAGGAGGGTTTGATTAGGTAGGGGTAGATGTATAGTTGATGACCATTGCTATAAATTGAACTTCTAATTGATTTAGTTAAGTTACATACATAAGAATGTGTTAAATATGCATGCTACCAACTAAAAAAAAATTGAAAAAAACACAACCTAAAGACTAATTAACAAAACTTAACTCAAAGATTGTGAACCTAAGTTCCTACTATGAATCCACCATAGGAGATTAGTGAGAGAGTTTCCATCATCAAAACCCTTTAAGCTCTTAATCTTCTCTAAAGCACCATCCTTATCATAAATCCCTTGCAAGGCATAGACAAAACCCTCCCATCCTTCCTCAACTCCTTCTCTACTCAGAGCTGGCAATGCCCATTCCACAATTTCCTTAGCAAAGCCATCATCAGAGAACAAGATCTCAGTGATTGGAGATATGGGCAGCAACTGAATTCCAAGCCTCATTTCTTTTGCCTCTGGAGGAGCAAACCAAAGTCCACTGTCTCTCTTGTTTGCCCATAAAATTCCCACAATCCTATTTTCCTTTGTGAACTCTTCCTCATAAAATGTATCTCCTTCTCTTACATGCCACCACATTTGAGCTGCTTGAATTTCCAGAGCTGTAAGCATTGATCCACTGTCGAAAAGATTGGTGTCTCCATAAGCTAAGCCCATCAATGCAGCTGAGTAGTAAGCATTCACTGCCTCACTTGTGCTCTCTTGGTCCCTTCCATCTCCAAATTCAGCTAGTCCTCCAGCCCATGAGTGCAGTTTGTACAGATCAAAGCATCTCAACCGCGGATAGTTTGAATTCGATTGGTTGCCTAGGTTGATGAAATCTGCTGCAAGAGAGTAAGCTTGAGGTTTGTACTTGCTCCCCCATGCACGATCAATCTTTGCAAGCACTGAAATACCATAAACAAAATATCCAAGATGAAAATGGTGATCATTATAAACTCCAAACCCAAAATCTGCACCGCGATCGGTTGATCCTTGTTGGGTGACAAGTCCACCCCATTTAGGATCATACAAAAAACCATTCCCACTTAAAGTACCATCCAACCATGGCTCAATGGCGTCCGCCAAGTATTTCCTAATTGCTGGAACCACATCAAGACAATCCACCTCCTCAGCAATCAAAGCCAACCTTGCTGCTTTGGCAACCAGTTTCCCATAAAAGTATGAAGATTCAGTTGTTATTGGCGTCGACCTAAGAGCCTTAACATCACGACGAAGCGCATAAACAATTTCAGGGTATGAGGCTTGTTTAACACCTCCGATTGAATGCCAAGTGACTGATACATTATGGGATTTCAACTCCCACAAATCGCCAACGATACCAACCAAATCACCATCAATGCTCTTGTACTTGAAATCCTCCAAAACAGTAGCGTTAGACAGAAGTTGAAGATGGAGAGGATGAGCTAGCATAAGCAAATCTCCTCTTCCATACTTTTCCCATTTATATTCCAGAGTGAATGGCTTTGTGAACATAGCTTCGCCAGAAACAGGGTAAGCAGAACTAAACCGGTCAAGGATTGCCATGTATTTTGGATCAGAACCCGGCACCAATGCAATCCGAATAGTCCCAGAATAGCCATCAAAAGTTAAGGTTGATGGGCTGCTTCTAGTCAAAATAGCTGGGGAGGAGGTGTACATAACCCATGTCTGATTGTTGTCAAGCTGGACGATGAACTTGGTCTTTGAGTTGCTCGAATAGGATTCGAGGATTGCGTGAATGGTTGAGACAGAAACCGCAGTGGGGCTAGACACATTGCAGGTGACATAGGGGCTTCCTCGAGCCAGGAAGAAACGAAGGTTGGAGGATGGAAAGTCCAAGGTGACACTGAGATCAGTGAAGGCAGAAATTACACGGCCGCTGTTATTTGCTGTAGCTAAGTTGGCGCTGGTTTGGGAGGCAGAGATGGTGAGGTCAGGTACAAAGGTTTGGGAGATGAAAGCAGAGGTGGAGGAGAGAGATGGGTAGGAGAGAGATAGAGAAGATGAGGATGAGTTGATGCTGTACGGGTGGAAGTACTCGGGTTTGTCGCCATCGTTGAGAGCAAAGTTCTGGAAAAAAGAATTGGTAGGGAGAGGGGTGGTGAGGAGGTTTGCAGAGAAGAAGCTTGAAGGGTCAGGGAGGATTGTGGATTGGGTTGGAGGGAATTGGAATGAGGATGATAATGAGGTGGTCTGTGGAATTAGTGAAAGAGCTGAAACACAAAGGATGAGAGCAAAAGTGAAAGCCGAAGTGAGGTTGTTTGCCATTGCGCCTTGTTGCGATCGTGAAGTCTCTCTAAAATTGGCCTCATATTTATAAGTTTTTTCAAGATGTTCCTAGTTGTGCGAGGTGTTTTTTTTTTCTGGTTCCTTTAGGAAATTGAAAAATTTATCTGCTGTATTTTTACTTTGCTTTTGTTTTGTAAGTCCTATTATAACTAGAGATTCGTTTCCTAGTGTTGTAATCTTTGTATATTCGTCACTATTGAAGGAGATAATTTTTCTTCGTCTTCCTAATTTCTTAGGGAAAAGTTGTTTGCTGTTCTTGTTCCTTTGTTTTTGTTTTTGCTCTGTTTCGTTTTAGTTCGTGAAGAAAATTAAAAACAATTTTCTATGCAATCTTTGTATATTCCTCACCAAAGAAAGTTTATACGGAATTAAAAAGGGTAAATTTTGAAAAAGAAAAGGGGAGGGAGTTTTCAAATCATGTTCCAGATGAGGAAGAAATTTATGGTCAAATTTAGAGTTCTTTTCTTCTTTTTTTGGTTGGTTATATTTATAGGCACAAGCAGAAGGCCTGGTCAATGAAATCCATTTGAAAGAGACGGAGCTAGAAAGACTGAATGGGTTGTGGAGGAAGCTTGAAAGCGGCAACATGGAGATGAATACTGCTAGAAACCGGTTTGGACGAAGCACATCTTTTAAAGGATCTGCTTCCTCTGATTATATTCTTGATGCTCATCACCATAGATATGCCGACGGCCAAACAGAGAGTCAGCAGAGGCTCATGCTGCTCGGGTACATTTTAAGCTTTGCACATCTTGGTCTTCAATAAGATCTCATTTTGAAGAGTGATATCAATCTTTCCAAATTCTGTTTATATGCTAAACAACCTGATGTGTCTTGTATTGTAAAATGCGTGGTCAATTTGGTTGTATGAAATATTCTTTGTTACGAGAATGCCCATGCTACGTCAGCACACTTAATAGTTTTGTGAATGAAAATGAATGAAAGTGGTAAAGTGAGAAAATTTCAGCAATTTTTAGAGATTCAGGGGGTTAAGTGAGAAAATTTAAATTTAACGGGTAAAAATAAACCTTTTATTATTGTACACCGAAGTTCTGGACTGCCTACCTCCTCACCAACCTTACATATTGGTAAAGTGAGAAAATTTCAGCAATTTTTAGAGATTCAGGGGGTTAAGTGAGAAAATTTAAATTTAACGGGTAAAAATAAACCTTTTATTATTGTACACCGAAGTTCTGGACTGCCTACCTCCTCACCAACCTTACATTATTTTGCCCCATAAAAATTAAAAAAAAAAAAAACTTTTGTTTTGATTTTGTGTTCTTTTAGTTTTTCGGGTTACATCCTCACCAACTTTTGATTCCTTCATCCCTACGCTGTGCTAAAGTCCCTATCATCATTTCCAACTTCACCAACCGCCTCCAACAACAAAAAATAAATAAAAAATAAAAAATCTTCACCAACCGCCAAAGACTAACTGAAAACCTTTTCCCCACACACCACACTCACAACTATATCCTTTGCTTATTACTAAGTTACTACAAAGGTGGGCCCCATCCAATGCTAATTTTGCAAACAAAATCATGTACTAGTGCAATGTTTGTGTTAATTATAATAAAACATGTATATTTTTCTATTAGTATTATATTTTAGGATTTTGTCCATACATTAATCAAAGTGAGGATCGTTTAAAGTAATATTAAGATCCTTAGATGAACCATGTGATATATATATATAGATGATTAAACAGTTTCCAATTTGAATGATGATTTAGTAAATGAATAGTTTTGATTATGATATGCGTACGATGAAGATTTGTTAATCACAAAAGCGTGGATAATGACGAGAAGCTAAATATGATTTTATATTAAGATTTTATTTGGTTCACGGAAATTAAATGATGAGAAATTAATCCTCATGTAGTTTTTCATGGGAAGAAAAATCGAAGATTATTTTTTCATGTTTGGTAATATTGGGAAAATAACAAGAAACCATCATTTTATTTCCTTTCGCATGTTTGGTTAGTACAACAATTGTAAATAAATTTAGTTTAGCTTGCAATTATATCTTTAAATAACAAATAATTTCCCATTCCTAAGTTTCTTTTCTTTTCTTATGAAGTAAACTTGTTGCCCACTTATTTTATAGTAAGTATACTAATTAATGACCCCACCTCAAAGCTTAAAGTATTCATAT